CGAATGTTCTTTCCTCGGCGCTGAGCGCCGGCTCCCTCTCGGTGCTGCCGGCCCTGGCGGTGAGGCTGGCGCGGGGGGAGCGGGGCTGGGGCTGGGGGCTGCCCGGCGCGGTGCTCCTCTGCCTGGCCGGCGCCTTCTCGGGCGTGGGGCGCTGCCCGGTGCGGCCGCGGGCGGCGGCGCTGCTGCTGCTGCTGCTGGCCGCCTGCTGCGGGGGGGAAGCGGTGGCGCAGACGGCGCTGGCGGCGGGGGAGGAGGAGGAGGAGGAGGAGGATCACTTGCTCTCCCTCGCCGCCACGGGGGTGGTGCTGAGCTGCCTGGCCGCCGTGACATGGCTGGTGCTGAAGCTGAGGCAGGGCGTCCTCATGCTCGCCGTGACTAGCGCGGCCAAGACCACGTCCCTCGTCGCCTTGGAGAGGGTCCCGGCGTCCTGGCGGCCCTACCTGGCCTACCTGCTGGGGCTGCTGGGCATCCTTCTGGCCGGCTACGCCGACCGGCTCTGGCCCCCGCGGCGGGCCGCCCCGCTGGCCGAGCCTCCCGCCGCCCCCCCGGCCGCGGACGAAGCCCCGGTGCTCAGGCGGCGGCGGCGGTCCAGCTCCATGATCTCCCCCGAGATGTCGGGCGGCGGCGGCAGCGGCAACAAGACCCACCGGAGGACCTCGCTGCCCTGCATCCCCCGGGAGCAGGTAGGGCAGGGGCTGGGGAGAGACGCGTCCCAAACTTTGCCGGGGGTCCCGGCGGCGGCGGCGGAGGAGCCGCTCCTGCCGGAGAGGCCGCGCACGGTGCGGGTTCCCCGGCGCGGAGAGCCCCGGGACGCCTCGGGACGGGACCGGGGGAAACCGGGCTGAAGCCGAGCTCAAGCCGGGCTCTCCGGACCAGGCTGACTATCCGCGGCTCTGGGCGACGAGCAGAGCGCTCGGGGTGTGCTTTTCCCTTACAGCTGTGGCCGGCGCTGGCTCTTCCTAAAGCTGGCAGAGGGAGGGCTGGGGTGCGCGGTGCCCGCTTGGCTCTCGCAGCCGGTGGGAACCTGCCCTCAGCGCAGCCCTCGGCATTCCCAGCATCACCTAGGAACCCCGCTGTTTCAGAGCTGTAGTTTCCTAGAAAGGCACCTCAGCCTTTTAAAACTTGCGTTAAGCTTGGAAGGGGTGTGTGTGCCTGAGCCGAGCAGCTCGCCCGCGGTGGGAGAAGTCCCTCATCGGGGCGGCAGCCGAGGCTCGTCTTTGCACTTTGCCTCCCCAAGGCTGCTCCCGTGCGTGTAATCAATAGCTCCGGCTCTGCCCTGGCTGTGGGAAGCGGTGCGAGGCACACGCGATTTATCTCAACTTTGTTTCCTCTGAGAGGCTGTGATTGGAATGGCTGAGTGAGAACTTTATTGCCGGAGACGCGTTCGTTTCAGCGCGCACCTCAAAAAAGCTGGAGAAAGAAGCGGTCAGGCGCCGGTGTCTGCGCTGCACAGCTGTGTGGAGCCCTGAGACACGGACACAAAGTGCGCTTGGTTCTGCGCTTGAGGTGTTTTTCAGTTGTTTTGAGATTTAAGGTTGCCCCAGAGAAATATCACTGAAAGGGTCGAGTGTAACTGGGCGTCTTGAAAGTCAGCGCAACCCCTGCTGAGCAGTGGCAAGGGAAACCTGGGGGGAAATACGAATCAAACGGCATTAAGTTTTCTTTTTCACCTAGTGTTGGAAAGGATTCTGTGCGCTGTCATCAAGTGAAGCGTGTTGTCATACACCTAAGGGTTTCTTTCAGGTGGCTTGCTGGATAAGCAGCAGAGTATTTTCCAAGTAATGGCTATGTCTATCTATGTGGTGTGGGTGGCTAGTTTGTTTCTGGAAATTGATTGCATCCCTTTGTGGTTGGTGTTGACATTTCTTAGAAGAGGGCCTGACAACCTTATATACTTGAGACTTGTTTTACAACAAACGCACTGATTTATTTAACAGTGTTGTTTAGGTAAAGTAAATATTTACCACAGACAAATACAGTGTGAAAAAGTAGAAAACTGACCGAGTTCTGACTTTAACAGGAACTGAGAGGCAACGGTGTAAGAGTAACTTGTAAGTACAATAAGGCATGAAATTATATTTATGCTTACTTGGTGATACTAGGCATTTCTGGTGGCTTATTACAATAATCATTTGTAAGGTCTTAAAGCATATTTTCCACTTGCTTTCACACTTCCAATAAATGCAGCCTTTCAGTTAACATCTCTAAATGTAATCATTTGGAGACAGGACTCAGTGACCATGGTGCTTGTCTCCTCTTATGGAGGGACTTCAAATCTCCTGCATCTACCAGAAGGTTGGACTGGTGATGGATAAGGAGGTAGACTCCTTTTCCCTCCCTGATGGTGCCTTATCTGGGGACAGTGGCCAGCTTTGCCCCGAGCAATTCCCACTTCCAGGCTGTGGAGCTGGGCTGGAGTTAGCTGGCAACTGTTCCATTCACCCGCTGCAGGATTTTGGCCAATTTCTCTTTCTTTTGTTCTCACTCACTATTAATCAATAGTGAGATCTGGTATAGCTTGTGTCTCTGTGTGACTAGAAATGGATGGTAACTTTGGAGTTTGGGGAGACTTTCTGTATTTTTTTTTAGCACAATGTGGCTGTGTGTAGGTGAACTCCTCTCCCTAATAGCTGTTCTCTTAAATAAATGCTAGCATGAGAGAAAAATGGAAAAGCTGAAACAAAGCTCTGTAAGGACCTTGAAGAAATGGTGGGAGAAGTGGGACTCTCTTACAGCAAACACAGTTTATGTTTGTAGGAAAAATCAGCTCCCTGTAGACTTAAAGAAAGTACAGGTAAATGTTTTTCTTTTGGACAGTTTTTAAATATAACATGTTAAAAATAGACATGAGGGCTTTGAAAGAAAACCAGGCCTTTTCTTGCCCCCCCTGTTTTTAAAAAACATCCCCTGGATGTTTCTGGTCTTGTTTGTACATCTGTGAGCTTGTTCATCGGGAAATAGATCCACTTTATTGCTTTGAAACACGTACTTCAATCTAGTGACTAACATTAGGCAAAGTTTTAGAGATCTTTCCCATCACCTCCTGTGTAACCTTTCTTATTGCTGAGCACTTAATTGAGCTTTTCTTTTTCCAGAATCTGATTCCCTTCATATCTGTCTGTTTCTGTTAGTGAGATTCTACGAAAGTTGGAATTTCTGAATTTTTCTTTTTTAGTCACACACCTCTCAATTTTAATCTGAATTCTTCCCTACTAGAATTTGAAGGTGAATCTATGTGGCATTGTATTGATTCCCTTCACATCTGTCTGTATCTGTCTGTTTCTGTTAATATGAGATTCTATGAAAGTTGGAATTTCTGAATTTTTCTTTTTTAGTCACACACCTCTCAATTTTAATCTGAATTCTTCCCTACTAGAATTTGAAGGTGAATCTATGTGGCATTGTAAAGGAGAGTACCAGGAACTGCAAACTGACAAAATGGATATTGTATTAGCACACCTTGTGTTAGATTCTTTTTCAATTCCAAAAAGAATTTGAAAAGAAAAACTTTTATTAAAAAAAGCCACCATCCAGAATTCAAATGGTACCATGATGCAACTTTCTGTTCTTGCTAAAAGTGCTCTTTTCCCATTTTCAGTTTAATTCTGTGCTTTTTGTGGCTGTTTTGTGTATATGATCCCTCTCTTTCCCAGACTTTGGCAGAGTGTTTGGATTAAAAGCTTCCAGCCTGGTGTGTGTGTGTAGATCTCATTGAGGAGTGTGTGCAGATCTTGCTCCCAGCTGAGTGTTGTCTCCCTGTGATTTCATCAAGGCTGGCTGAGGATGCTCAGCTCCTTGAGGGCTCGCTCAGCCACATTTAAAGAGGATGCAGAGCAAAATTGTGAATGGATGGATAAGACAGGGAATGAATGAATGAAGAAGAGCCTTTTTTTTCTTTTTTTTCAGTAAATGCAAAAGCGCCACCAAAAAGATGGCTTTTGGAGTTTTTTCTCCAGATTTTTGCATACATTTTATCTCTTCCTGAAAGTGCTGAGAGAAGGTTAGTGGGGGTAGGGAGGGGAGCAGAAAAGTGTTCTGTGTGTTGTTTTTTCCCATTAAAATATTATAACCCCCATGTGCTCTGCCTCTTGTGCCTCTGATCGATGTGTTAATCTCAAATAAAGCAGTCCAAGGGGATGCTTTTGCCTTGGTGGGCAGAATGCTGCACAGGAGATTGTAGCTGGGCAAATCTGCACCATGCTGAAGGCTCCTGATTTTGCTTTCGAGATTTGCTTGTTTAGGGAAGCTTTCAGCCACCTTGGATTTGTTACAAGTACGAGTTATTTGCAGCTGCAAATAGTTTGATTTGCTTTTGCAGGGTGTTTTTTACCTCAGTCAGAAGGCTGTAGGGGTACAGCACACAGCAGTGTCTGAAGGACTTGCTGGTCCCCCAACTCGTGGGTGACACAGCCCTGTGTGAGAGAAGGTGATGAGTCGTGATGGAAGGGCTTCTCCCATGTCCTCAGCTATGGGAATTTATAAAATTAGAGGGTTTTGGGAAAGCTGCAAAAGACAGGCTTCAGATACCCAGCTGCCAGGCCAACAGCTCCACATAAAAACTCCTGCCCATGCTCTCTGTCTCCTAAGGCAGACAGGTTTTCTATCCATTTTCCTTATGTATTTCTCTTTTGCTTTGTATTTCTGTTTTCCATATGTATTTCTGTTTTGCCCTCCTTCTGAGCAGTAGGAGTAGTAGAAAGCTCTTTGCCTTCCCGAGGGACATCTGAGGGTCTGTCACTTATTTTCTGTTGGTTTGAGACTTGGTGGCTGTTTTATTCTGCTGCATCTTTCCCATCCCTTTTCTCCTCATTTTTTCAGGCCAGTAACCTTGGTGCCAGACTCGTCTGTCTTCCTTCAGCAGTAGCAGTTGGGTTTTTTGCTCAATTAACTGTTTTTCATGGGGTTCTGGGTGGTAACCCTGCCTGTTCCCAGCCCTAGCCTGGGAAAGTTGTGTGCCGGGACTGTCCTTATCACCGCCTGTCTGTGGAGTTGAGAAGACAATACAGTAACAGTTCACATGGCCAAAGATATCTCTGCAGTGATAAGATCTAAGAAACAGTGGAGAAAAAGAAATATATTTGTCAGTTTTTTTTTTTTTTTTTTTTTCTTTTTTTTTTTTTTTTTTTTCCCCAAGGGGAAAATTAAGGCTTTATCTCTTCTCATTGTTTGATAGTGACAGCTTTGGTAGTGCCAGGAATATGTTGCTTCTTCCTCTTTGCTGGTTCTTTTTCATTTTACCTTAAAAAGTTCTCTTATATTATAACCAATTTTTATTAATATGGATTCTGTGCTCTGGCCTGAAAATGGGAGTGATCAGGGTGCAACATAGAGAAATCTAAAATTTTAGAGGGGAGCTGGCAGATTGAATTTAGGTACTGAACTTTGTGTCATGTAGACATGTGAGGTTTTATATACCATATACCTCCTGCTAATAAGCTTTATTGAGCTGTAACTACCCTGATAAGATTTAATGGCATTACCATTTAGGTCACTAAAAACTAAGGAATACTGAGGAATTATGTCATCTGGTGACTTGCTGAAACACAACCATGTAAAATATTAAAGAAAGGCTCCAGGAAAAATCACCCAGGGATTCCAGATGTAATGCTTTATTTTCTTTTGCATGGCTTCATTTACGCAAACCTGCTCTACTTGGGATTTTTCATTTCTCTTTCAGCCTCAC